GGGTTTCCACAATATAGTAACTTGAATGCACTTCCTTAACAGCAACCCAGTAATTAACAACCCAAGGCAAGTCCTAGCTTGAAAGGGCGCCAGAGTCGTACAGAATCAATATGGGAAGGATCTGTGCAGCCTGGGTGATAGGTAGAGACCCTATGAAAGCCAATGAGAATAACGAACCTGCTAAGAACCTATTCCAACTCTTCTGTGCCTGTGTCCAACGTCAAAATGCACTCAACAATTTAAATAGATGGTTTCTCCTTGTAGGACGGACAAACCAACCCCTCTGTTTGGCAAACGCCAAAGCTGAACATTCAAGCCTCACAACCCTGATCCCAGCTACTACAGACCCTGAACCCCAAGTAGATCAATGTAGATCCAACTGAGCCTGAATACTGGGCCACTTCTGAAGTAGCTTTCGTCGAAAATCGTGGATGGGCGTGCCCTCGCCTCCCTGAGGGGCTCTTGAGATCTCGGGCTTGGTGTCAAGGTTGGTTGTGGCCAACTTTCTGACTTGAACAACTTCCTTACTGATGGTTAGTAGGGAGTAAGGGAATATCATGCGTTGAAGCCATGGGACCAAACATCCAGTCCGGCGGATCAAGGCTTAGGTCTTGGTGACCAGGACTGAGGAGTGGCTCCAACCCCAAAGATGTCCTCATTTTTGTAGATCATCACCATTGTTATTATCACTTTTACTATTACTAGAATTGTTTGTGCTATTGTTATTACTACTGGGGTCAGGTTGGGGACACCAAATGGGTCTAAACTGGAATCTCATCTAAGGGTCAGGGCTGATCTGGGGAACCCACTTCAAACGCTTCCTTGGGCATCAACAACCTGCCATGGTGTTCCAAAAGAATAGAAGAGTAATGCTATTTGACGTGACACTAGGGGGTCTGTTCCAGGGGCCTATTTACATAATCAGAACAGGAACTTGGGGGGGTGGGGGGGGGGGGGTGTACGTATTGTTACTCATACTCTATAGGCATACAACACTCACACAAGAGGAAGAAGGGTAGTTGTGCAGGTCTACAGTACCCCTACCCTACTGATATCCACACATGTGTTTGCCACATATCCTTCATGCCGAAGACCGCGCTTTAGGGCTTAGGAAGAAGGACCATGTGACATTGCCTCTCGAGGGTACCAGTTTGAGATCCTGAAAACAACCTTACACCCCAAACCCTAAGCCCTCCACCTGTTACATGACTGAGGATGGATCCAGCTAGAGGCCTTTGATTGTCACATCACTGAAGATTCAACCTCCCTCAAAAACAAGCATGGAACCCTCCAAAAATGGCATACGTGGCAGCTTTCCTAGATAGGGGGACCCCAATATAGCTTCAAAATACGAACTTCCCGCTTATAGGGAGCCTCAGAGGAGGTATTCATTTTGGGGAAAACCATGCGTTTAAACAGACTTGGGCTTGTTTTTGCAGTCCCCCTTAAGTAGATAGAATATGGAATATATGGGGATCTTATTGTAATATGCCCAAAGCCGTATTCTATCTACTTCAAGGGGACTATAAGCTTGCGGTAGGGCAACGGTGATTTAGTTCTCAGAAGGCTATCATCTTCTCGGCTAGTTCAACAGGAAAAAAAGATCGACAAAAGAAGTGGTGAGGATGGCTCTGAAGGCACTGGGCAAGAAGCAACAGTGGGACTTCACACTGAAGGGTCATTGTTTATTTCCTGAATGGTTTGTTGCGGTTTTTTTTGCGTATATGAACAAGTGAGTACCGTTTTTTGGTGGTTAAACCCAGTAAGGTATTATGCCTTACATAAAATGCTTTACCCCAAAAGGAGGATATGACCTTACTCTAGAATGGGTACCATAGTATCCCCAAAGAAAATACTACTCAAGTGCTGCAAAAGAAACAGGAGTTTCGATACCAGCAGACTACCAGTCTTCTCGCTACCGGAGGCTAAACTCAAGCCCTATGGACTCGGCTTCCTTATTTAAAGGGACTTTACTGGGAACCCCAAACAGGGAACCCAAGAACACAGTAGGAATAGAATAGGAATGTACCTACCGGGGTCCTTATATTCTATTGTATTCCCACTATATTCTTGGGGTTTCCTGTT